ATAAAAAAGACTCCTAATGCTACAGAAGTATATTGCTAGGGCCCAGGCCTCTGCACTACTTCCCATCATCTTCTCTACCTCCTCAGCAGTTGTCTTGCTTCTCCCCATCCCCATTTGAGTACTGTCCTCCCTCCCTTTCAGTTCCCCTTTATACATTGTCTTCCCCCATTAGAATGTAAGCTCCTTGAGAGCAGTAACTGTCTTGATTTCTTGATTTGATCCCCAGAGTTTAGCACAGTGCCTAGCACATAGTAAGTACTTAATGAATGCCAAATCTAGAGTTGCCTCTTTTGCTTTCTATCTCTTCATGTACACATTTACTATCTCTTTATCTATCTATATATCCATCCATCCTTCTCTCTCTCTCTCTCTATATAATATATATATTTCTCTCTCTCTCTCTCTCTCTCTCTCTCCCCACCCCAGATTAGAATGGGCTTCCTTGTGTGATAGGAACTCTCTCCTAATGGAGGTTTGAATGACCACTTGTGGGGAATGGTAGCCTCTGAAGTGACTTTCAACACAGAAGTTCATTCATTTATCCATTCAACAAATATCTATCAGGTGCCAAGCACTGTGTTTGGGTTACAAAGACAAAAAATGAAACAGGCTCTGACCTCCATGAGCATACATTCGCTATTTTGGTTGTTCAATCATTTTCCAGTCATGTATGACTCTTCGTGACCCCATTTTGGGGTTTTCTTGACAAGAAATGACAAACCACTTTGTTATTGTCCAATCATTTCAGTTGTGTTTGACTCTTTGTGACCCCATTTGGGGTTTTCTTGGTAGAAATACTAGAGTGATTTGCTATTTCCTTCTACAACTCATTTTACAGATGAGGAAATAAGGCAAATGGGGTCAAATGACTTGCCTAAGATCACAAGGCTAGGAAGTGTCTGAGGCCAGATTTGAACTCACAAAATTGAGTCTTCCTGACTCCAGGCTGTGTGCTATATTCATTGCGCCACCTAGCTGCTATATATTCACTATGGGAATCACTTAAGCAGTGAAGGGTTTCCTTATGTCTTTAGTATGCATTTCGTCTTACAGAAACATGCCTTGTGTAACCAGAGGGACACCTGTACTAGGTAGAATGAAGATGGTGTAAGCAAGCATCCAGGCAGCCAGCAGGAGAATCAGTGGTGTATTAGTAAGGCAAGGGAATGTTGTGTTCCTATGGTAACTGATGACCCCAGTTAATCCTCCTCCCCCTCAAGGAGGCATATAATGTCCTGCCTCCCACCAAGCCTCCTCGGCTGCTCAAACAAACATTTGGTTGCTGCATTAAATTGTCCCAAGGATGCAGGTTTATGTAATGGGCAACACCTACTTCTGCAGAGTGCAAATCTCCAAGGTACCTATGAAGACACATCTCGATTTGGCTTTAGGAAAAGTTGTCATTTCAAAAGAGGATATATTTAGAAAGAGCACATGGGAAGAAAAGATGTTTTTCATGGTACATTCATTATGCATAAAAAATTACATGCCTTGGAATCTTAAACAAAGAATCTATATTCGTGGTTCCAGGCAAGGGCTTGTAACAGCAACCTAGGATTTTCCTATTGGGGAGCCTGGGGTGGGGGCATTGGTAGAATGTAAGCTCTTTGAGGGCAAGGCCGGTGTTTTTGCCATTCTTTGCATCCCTAGTGTTTAGCACAGTGCCTGGCATAGAGTAAATGCTTATTGACTGACTACTTGGTAATGCAACAGAGATTTCTAATTACTTTTACCATCTCTTATCACTTCCCTATCTTCCTGGGTCTCTAGCAGTATGGTTTAGTGAGAAGAGAAAGGGGGGTATGGAGAAAGAGAGTTTGCTTGGGGGGGGAGGTCAACTGACCTGGGGTCAAATTCTGTTTGTACCAGTTGCTAACTCTTGGCTTTGGGCAAACACTTATCTTCTCTGTTGCCTCAGTTTCCTCATGTGTAAAATCAAAGGGTTGCAGTGGATGCAGGTCCCCTTTGAGGCCCCTCACAGCCCTAAATCTATCACTCTATGATGCTGGGCAAGTTTCTCCATCTCTGCACCTCAGCTTTTTCATTTGTAAAATGAAAGAATTGGACTAGGGTTAGCTTCTGATATTCCTTCCAGCTCTAAACTGATGAGGCTGTAATAATAATTGCTTGCATTTTTATAGCACTTCAAGGATGCAAAAGCACTTTATATATGTTAGCTCGTTTGATCTACGACCTGGAGTTAGAGAAGCTGAATTCGATTCTTAGTGTTATGATTCACTTCCTCTTTGAGTGAACTGAAGAAAATAACATGGGAGGGCAGATAGAGTGATGGACCTGAATCCAGGAAGTCTTGACTTCAAATGTTATTGTCAATGTTTATTAGCTGGGTAACCTTGGGAAAAATCACTTAAACTTCTTAGCCTCCATTTCCCCATCTGTAAAGTGAGGATAATAATAGCATCTACCTCTCAAGCTGTGTGATTCAAATGGGACAAAGGAAGTTGAGTGCTTTGCAACAGCACTATAGCCATGATGGGTTCTTTTTCTTTTTCCACACACAGTTTTGATTTCTTCTAAATGTCTGTATTTCCAGAGCTTTGTTTCATGTGGTTTGGAAGTGATGAGAGTTTGGTGTGGTGACATCTATAACAATGTTGTTCTTAAATTTTTGGAGCTCTATACTCTGAGAGATTGTGAGTGATAGACTTTTCTGTAGTGGTGCTCCAATCCCAGCCCAGTTTATTTATCAATAATGATATTTTTGGATCTACAATTGTACTATGGGGATTTGCCATATAGGTTCAAATCCTGCCTTTGACTTATACTGACTGTGTGACCCTGGGCAAGTCACTCAACCTTAAGGTCTCCAGGCAATGCTTTAAGACTCTTATGTTTCAGAAGAGTTGCTTATTTGAGGGAGGGTTTTTTCTGGGAGTGTCCTACTCAGATGAAATTCCAGGTCTGAACCAAAAATAATAACATTTTCATGATTATATAGTCCCAGAGTAAGGGATCTTTACCAATGAAAGGAAGTGGATAAGAAAAGAATCAGAGGAGGAGAGAAGACTAAGAAATAACATGTTTTGGGGCAGCTAGGTGGTACAGTACATAGAACACCAGCCCTGGAGTCGGGAGGACCTGAATTCAAATCCAACTTCAGACACTTGACACTTACTATCTGTGTGACCCTGTACAAGTCACTTAACCCTGATTGCTTCACACACAAAAAGGAGATAATATGTTTTGGGATAGCAACAATGAAATTTTAGGAATCTCCCTGAGAATAGAGATTATATACTATAAAAATCACACACAAATAAATTCCTTTGCACTTGCAAATTTCTCTTCTCCCTTCTGTCTCTTAGAATCCCAGGCTTCTTTTTAGCTCAATCATTACCTTCTGCAGGTATCCTTTTCTGTCCAACAGTCCAGGCTGATATTGCTGTCCACCACTCCTTCTCCCCCACCTCTACTCCAACCTGCCCCAAGGTTCCTTTGTATCTGTTTTCTAAGTATGCACACATTGGCTTTCCTGTTAGAATGTAACCTCCTTGAAGGCAGGCACTCATTTTTGTCTTTGTATCTCTAGCACCTACCAGAGTGCTCTACACATAGTAGGTGCTTAATAAAAGGCTTGCTATGTTTATTGACCTTGCAGTCCTTCTTGAGCATTTCATTTCAATGAATTGCATCAAATATATTCTAGGAGACATAGAAATGGTTTTCTGGCTCTTGTTCCGGTAAAATTGCAGAGGGGCAGAGGCACACTTTATGACCTTCAGATGTGCCACTCAGTGCTGGGATTTTGCCTGATCTTCTTTCACATGGTACAGATCCTTGGTGACTAACTGATCTTTGACTGGCTCCTAGTTCTGCTGACTTGATCTCAGTCAATCCCTTTCTTGGACAGGCATATTGTCTTTAACCCTCTTCCTTCTCTAACTTTTGACCAGGAAAATCTTCCTTCCTTTCCAATTCATTGATATGCCAAAAAAGGACTTCAAATTGTGGCTGATTCACATAAGGCAGAGGTCAGTGAGTCATTTTTATCAAAGACAAGGGAGGCAATTATTTTTCAGGTAAAATAAGACAAAATAAAGAGCCAGTTCCAACAAAGTCTAAAACCATTGACGGATATTATGTAATATTTCAAGGCTTTGTGTTAAGTACTTTACCAAGATCTCATTTGATCCTCACAACAGCCCTGGGTGGTAGTACTTTTACTGTCCCCATTTTACAGCTGAGGAAACAGGCATAAAGAGGTTAGGGACTTGCCTGGGGTCTCATAGATAATAAGTGTCTGAGGCAGGTCCAGAGCTTTATCTACTGTGTAACCTAGCTATCTCAAAATACTTCTATTAAATGGCTACAATATTACATTCACCGCACTAGCCTCCGGGGACATAAACAAAAAAGAAATAGTGACTGCCTTCAAGGAGCTTACATTCTACACCTCCATAAGTGCTTATTGAATGACTGAATAGAATGTGAAGTGACCAGCCTGCATCCATCATCTGTCTTCAGACCACCTTTAGTGTCAAATGTGCAGTGATGGTCCAATCACTGCTGAAATGCAGAACCAACTTTTCTTTTCTACTTTCTTTTCACTCCTGCCTGCCAGCTAATGAGCACACTGATTTATACTACCTTGTGCCACAGTCAAAATCTGAATGAACACGCCAAATGCAATTTCCTTTTTCTTGTGTTTTGTTACATAAATAGTGGGAATGTTAGAGTAGAACAGATTCTGTATCACAAAATCATGGAACAGTAAATGGTGGAACAAGGGGAAAAAAGTGTGAGGTACACAGTGAATTTCATTAGCACATCTTTCAGCTAAATATAAAGTCAGTTATTTAAGGCACCAAGAACGAGAAGACTGAGAACACAATGGAACACAATATGCAGGACACGTTTCAAACCTTGTCAATATTATCCAGATAGACTTTATCATCAACTACCTCCTATTTAAAAAGAACACATTTTAAAAAGTTGAACAAAGATCATGGTTGGAAGAGAAGGAAAATTGGTTTTGTTACCTGTGCTGGAGGCACTAAATCTAAATCTGGAACCGACTCAGAATTGAGGGCACTTTTCCCGCTAGTCAGTTCTGGCTGAGATCTACTCTCTGAAGACCTACAAGGAAAGAGTTTAATCAATTTGTGTAGCTTGAGAAACATAAAATACAGCTCTCCTACAGATGACCAACCAAGAATCCTAGTTAATTTGGCTTAAATGCTATTTGTTGGTTAATAGAGTCCTCAATGGGATTTTGATGAAGAAGATTATCCATCCTGTCTACTTGGCTCTGTTTAGTATGTGTGACGGCAATATGAAGCCCCACTGCTCTAAGATCGATCCAGGGTTCTGTCCAATCATGTGCAGAAAATAAACAACAGCTCTAACAATGTCCATTCAGAGGCTAGGCTGGCTTATTAAACAAATATTGCTTTTCTTAGGACACTTCTCACCCAATGTTACAAGTGTTATTTTATCCTTGTACAACACTAAAATGTCATTCTGAGTGGAGATGCATAGGAGTAACTGGAGACAGGAACATTTTGTGCTTTGAAAAACTTGAAAAGTGTTGCTGGTTTTCAGTCCTCAGCAACACAGAATGGTCCTAATATGTAAATTAATATAAATGAGGGTGACCAGTGTGGCCAGAGAATGTAATTAAAAGAAAAAACCATCGATATCTAAACAACCATAGACCAGTTTTCTGAAGCAGAACTATCTGGGCACATCGGGCCAATTTAGTCAATTTTGCAGCCATCTGCCTACGAATGAAAACATACATGGCACTAAATAACCGGATGGACCCCTTTTTAAATTTTTTTTTTGTCATGACCTAGAATTGTGTGATCAGATATTTGTACTGCCTCACACATGGTAGGCCCTTCCTAAATACATGTTGGTGGAACCAAATGGCTTCAATTCTGATGTTACCATAAAAGTTCTTTTGATCCAGTCCTGGATGATGCTGACTTCCTCTCTGCCATGGCATGGACCTTGCTATTTCTGTCTCCATGAAATTTAACTTCATCCCATTTATCCAGTTGTGTCTGAATATCTAGTGGAAGAAAGAAGATTATTTGAATAATTGAACTGTGGAAAAAACTTAACGAACTGTCTCCTTTCTCTTTCCCCTCCCAAATGCATGAGCAGTGTAATGGTAACAGCAACTAACATTTATAGATGGTATTAAGGTTTATAGAACACGAAACTTGATGTAAGAAAAACCCAGGTTCAAATCTTGCCTACAACACTGGCTCTGTGATGGTGGGCAACCCTCTCAACCTCTCTGAGCCTCAGTTTCTTCATTGTAAAATGGAGTCTTAAATAGTAACAACTTCAGAACAGTGAGGGTCAGATGAAGTAATTTTTGCCATTTGCTTGGCAAACCTTAAAGTAAAACCTTAAAGGAAAGAAATGAGCTATTATATGAATGAAGGATTAAATTTTTTTTTTTAAAAGAACAACCAACAGCAGACCTTTATAGCTACTGGAGAGACACTAGTTCCTTTTATTAAGGGATTATCTTCAAACTAGTGTATCCCCTCCAAAGAACATTCATTCCCAAATGATAATAGTCTCACTACCTACATTTATTTCTAACAAAGCGATATGCTGAGGCTCTGGGAAACTACTTACTTGACCAGGTAACTGGGTGAGCATAACAGTGACCTACAAAACTGAAGTGACTTTCTTGACCTTGCAGAGAAAGCCCAAGATAGATCTTTCCACCACACCTGCTCCCCTTCCATGCTCATTAGCCTACTCATGATACATGATTTTGATACGGTGATTTGAGTTCCCAAATTCTAGCAACAGATGCCATCAAGCAGAGAAATTAGGATTGTTTTGCTTGGTCCCAGAAATCAGACCTAGAGTAAACCATGGAAATTGTAAAACGGCAGTTGTAGGCTTGATCTAAGGACAACTGTCCTTAAAGCAAGAACCATCCCCAAATACAATAAGGTAGAGGTAAAGGGTACCCCTTTCCTGGAGATCTTCAAGAAGAGGCTGGGGGAGCACATGCTAGGGATGTTGTAGAGAACTTTTTGGGGGGTATGGGGTAAAGGGGTTGGAAACCCAAGGCCTCGAGGCCACATGTGGCCCTCTAGGGTCCTCAAGTGTGGCCCTTTGATTGAATCCAAACTTCACAGAACAAATCCTCTTCATAAAAGAATTTTTTCTGTAAAACTTGGACCCAGTCAAAAGGCCACACCCAAAGACCTAGAAGGCCACAGGTGGCCTTGAGGCTGTGGGTTTCCCACCTCTGGATGGCTGCTGAGTTCCTGTCCAACTCAAAAAGTCTGTCATTCAGAGAAATGGAAAGAAACAGACAGGGGTTCTTAATCTTCTTGTGTGTGCACATCATGGATCCACTTGGCAGTTTGGTGAAGCCCAATACTGTTGTGGATTGTTGCCTGTATTCATAATGGAAGGGCATGCTGAATTTTAGTTCAAGGTTAGCGAAAACAAAGATGAAATTGTTTTCCTGATTCAAGTTCAAAGACCCCTGAAATCTCTCCATGGGCCCCTTGGGGGTTTATGGACACCAGGTTAAGAACTTCCTTTGAAGAAGAATGGTTCATCTCTTTGGGGAGTACCACTGAAAGATGTATTTTGATTACTCCTAGAGGTTTATTTGTAGAGCTATCTTCTACGTAACTGTGTCTTCATTGCTTTCTTGTTTAATTACAACTAAGAAATCATATTAGTGTCATGATTGTAATCAAGGAGGTGAGTTGTTTTCCAGAAGCATTGTTATGAGGCCAAAAAGCAATTTAAAATTCTTAGGATTTCCTCCCCCAGCTGCTGGCTTCCTGGCTGTAATGAGGAGTAGATCCTTGGGTTGTGTTTGGTGGCCAATCCATCCATCGGAGGAAATTTTGTCTGATAAATTGATGCAAGGGGAATAAGACCTGACATTTTGCTACTTCCAAGGATGAAGGGATTTGCAAAAATAATAGGGAGACTGAAAAGAGAGAGGCCACTAAGAAGGTTAAGAACACTTAGAAAATTTATCTGTGGCCTAATTCTTTAGGATAAAGGAAGGTTTTAGCACACTGCCTGGCTCCTGGTCCTAACTATGCTGCTAAGAAGTTGAATGAATTTGGACAAATTGACCCTCCTCTCTGGGTTGCTATTTCCTTATCTGTAAAGCACAACGATCATAGATTTTTTAATATTAATTTTTATTGTTTTATTTTTAAATAGCATTTTATTTTATCCAATTACACATAAAGACAATTTTAATATTCATTTTAAAATAAAACTTTGAATTCCAAATTCTCCCCCTCCCTGCCTTCCCCTCTCTCCTCCTTAAGAGGGTAAGCAGTTTAATTTAGGTTATATATGTAAAATATATTTCCATATTAGTCATGTTGTTAAAGAAGAAACAGGAAAAAGGAAAAAAAATGAAAAAAAGTGAAAGTAGTATTCTTATTTGCATTCAGACTCCATCAGTTCCCTCTCTGGATATGGATAGAATTTTCCAAATTATCATAGATTTAGAACTGGAAGGGACCTCTGTAAACCAGCTAGTCTAACCTTCTTCTTTCACATATAAGGAAACTGCAGCTCAGGGAGTTGAGGCAAGTTACCCCAAGATCACATAAAGAGTAGGCATCAGAGGCAAGATATGAACCCAAGGCCATCGGCTCCAGAATCAGTATTCCTTCCACTACATTAAACTGCTAGATTTGATGGTTTCTCAGGTTGTCTCTACCTCTAACATTTTATAATGGAGAGAACATCATGGGATATTTTCTAAGAAGCGCCAGAGTTCTGCTAGGTGCTTTTGGTTCATTTAGAATGTACCAAGCCAGGAGACAGTGATGGGGTGGAGGTAATGAAGTAGTTATGTCTACGAGCTGGTCTTCCAAAGAAGGGGGATTGATAGAAGAGATAGGGAGGGAAGGCTGTAGCAGTCACCTTTCAGTCAAACCTAGAGGCTTTTGTCCTGGCTTTATTCTTCCTGCCAGGAGAGCTTAATACTTTTGGAAAGTTCCAACCTTTGCATTTAGTCGATTCAGCACTGTGTTCCCCAGGGAAGAACACAGGTAAATAAAACCTTCCCGTAGACTTCACTCAGAGCACAGTCTTGAATTTGAAAGAGGCCAAGAGACAGTTTCACAACCTTTTGGTTTTCTGTGACCCCAGGTTGATGGCAGGTACATTCTTGGCCAAAGTATATGTCTGAGGGCAGGGAAGTGGGAAGGAAGGAGTGAGGAGAGGCTGGTGAGATTCTCCCCATTCTTCCAAGGTATCTCTGTCTCTGTACGTTTCCTTATTCCAAAGCAACAGTGTTCTACTTCCTGCTCCCCCCGCTCCCATGCTCTAGTGCAACACTTGACCTACTAATAATATCTGATAACACATATTATAGATATACATATGCGAGCTTTAAGGTTTGCAAAATACTTCATGGACAGTAGTGATTTCAGTACTACCCTACAAGGAAGGTGCTATTAGAATGTAAGCTTTTTGAAGAGAGAGATTGTTTCCCCCTCTCTTAGTGTCTCCATCACTTAGCACAGTGTCTTGGCACATAATAAGTGCTTGTTGACTGATTATTATTATGCCCATTTTACAGTTGCAGAAACTGGGACTCAAGAGAGGTTGAGTGAATCTCCCAGGGCCACACAACTAATAAGTATCAGAGGCAGGTCTTGAACCAAGCTCTTCTTGATGTCAAGGCCAGGGCTCTACCCACTGTGCAACATTGCCTTTTCATTCCTTGTCACCACCCATCGATCATTTATTAATGCTGTTTCCCATGTCTCCCTTCTCCCTTACTATAAAGACAATTCCTCTATTTCAGTGACTTTTGTGTTTTTTTCCTTTCTTTTTATAGTAAGTTTTTGAACTGGGGAATAAGAAGGCAAAAAGCCTTTACATACTCCTTACAACCAACTTCAGAATTCCCCTGTTGCAGCACAGGACTTGAGGGATATGGAGCCTGCAATGGCCAATGGAAAGCCATTAATGCTACTGCTTTAGAGGAAGGAGGAAGACAGAAAGGGCAATGCTTTGCAGCAGATGTGACTGCTCTTGAGGAGAGTTCTGTGACGGGATTCCATTTCTTACACTTCCTAGCATTGTGGCCATGGGCAAGCCACTTCCCTTTCTCTAAGCCTCAGTCTCCCCATCTGTAAAATGGTTTGTTGATTCATTCATCTGGCATTTATTAAATGGCCACTATGTGCCAAACATTGTACTAGGCACTGGGGACACAAATAATGAATTGATGACCTTTTATTAAGTGCCTGTCCTGTGCCAGGATCTGTGCTGGGCACTGGGCATACAAAGACAGAAAGAAAATGTGTCTGCTCTCAAGGAGTTTATAGTTGTCCCTTCCAGCCCTCAGTCGATGTTGTGATGATTCTCGGAGGTTAGAATGGTGCATTGGAAAGAATACTACATTTGGAGTCAAAAGACCTGGGTTCAAATCCTACCTCTGTCTCTTGCTTCTTGTGTGGCTCTCACTTTTCTCACCTGTGAAGGGAGGGGGTGGGAGTAGATGATTTATGAGCTCTCTTCTAGATCGAAATCTATGATACGATGATTGGAACCTTGGTTTCCTAATCTGTAAAATAAAGGCTCTAGATTGGATGATCTGAAAGTCCCTTCCAGTTTTAAAACTACAAGCTTATGAAATAAAAGTCACATGGAGGAAAGAGCACTGGATCTGAAATTAAAGGACCTGGATTAAAATCCTATAACTGTCATATACTTAACCTATGTGACCTTAACCTCTTTTGGTCTCAGTTTCCTCATCTGTAAAATGAGAGTTTTAGATTGGATGATCTCCAAGGTCCCTTCTAGCTTTAAATCTATGAGCCTGTGAAATGAGTTGTATGGTGGAAAGAGGACTGGATTCAAATCCCAGCTCTGCCATATGCTTAACCTATGTGACCTTAATCACTGCTGGTCTCAGTTTCTCCATCTGTTAAATGAGACTTTTAGACTGGATGATCTCTAAGGTGCTTTCCAGCTTTAAATCTATGATCCTATGAAGTGAGTTGTATGGTGGAAAGAGGACTGGATTCAAATCCCAGTGCTTGCTGCCATATACTTAACCTACATGACCTTAACTTCTCTTGGTCTCAGTCTTCTAATCTGTAAAATGAGGGGGTTGGGTTAGATGACATCAGAGGTCCCTTTGGGATCCTGATCCTCTGAGCTGGGCTTCTAGCTTCTCATCTGCTCAATGGAGGTAACAGCACCTGCAACACCTGCCTCCCAGATTAGTAGTGAGGTTCAAGTGAGATACTGAGCATACAGACCTTCAAGTGCTCTAATCGTCAGTGACTGCTATGGCCCATGAGGTCTTCATTTATACCTCAGCCTGCACTCAGGTGGTTCTTTGAATCTATATATGAAGTTGCCAGTCACTAACATATCTGTCTCTCAACCTATGTCATGAAGGATGAGTGAAATCATCTCAGTCGTACACAGCTGGCTCGCTCTGCCTACCTTGGCTCATGTTTTTATATTATTTATGTAGCTTCTCCCTTGTTGCACTGGCACTCATGCAATGTTAAGCCGTGTGAGGCACATATGGCTGGGGAACTGTTATCCTCCTTAGCACTGACTAGGAGGGCCCATCTGCAGGGTGCACCGCTCTGGGGGCCGTGCGAATCAAGTGAAGCAAACATGGGCTGTTTAGCAGTACGGCTGAATATGGTGGCAGCCAAATCCACAGCTACAGCCCAGCTGCCTCTGTAGCATATGAATGTGATTAACCTTACCTAAGTCTAACGATGATGTCTCTGGGATTCTCAGAGGCTGGCCTCTCTGCTCGGCATCGGTGCTGATAAGGTCAGAGCCATCAGCCTTCTTCTTGTGGCTTGAGGCTTTTGGCATAGCCTCTAGCTTCTTTGTTTTGTTTTGGGTTTGTGACACGGGGTCACTCAGGTCCAAGAGATCTAAACCTGTTGATAATACTGTCACAGACATTAGATGTTAAGTTAAACCAATTTATTGTTATTAGACCATAGTTACTGCTACTAAGTCCCACTTACTGCTATTAAAATCATAGCAGGATTTTCTTTTTCACAAAGGCTTCTGTTGGCTAAGCATTATTGATTTTGAACCTATAATATGTATTAGAACCCACCAAATTAAAAGACCTCACATTTAATGATTTAATATAAATTTATAAGTATTGAATCTCTCTGATCAGATAGAAACCAAATACAAGTGAAGTGAATAGAGTGTCTACTTTTGAGTTAGGAAGACCTGGAACCAGTTCTTGTGTCTGATACCTATTAGCTGTGTGACTGAGCAATGTACCTACCTCTCAGTGCCCTGGTAACTCTTTAAGATGAAGTTGGAGAGCAGTGGTTGGCCTATAATGGTGAAGGGAGTTTCTATACTTGAAGTTCCTCACACTGATGAAATCATAGGTCCAGTCCAAAAGAATCCCCCCAACACCCCACCCCCCAAATGATTTAGGATTCATGTAGATGAGTCATTTGAGAAATATTCTAGTGTTTGATGTGACAGAAAACAATTAAAACACAAAGCCAGATGTGACCTTACCATTTCTGAAGTTCCAAAAGAAATGAAAAAGTAATGAACTCCAGCCTGAGTTATAGATACTTATCACCCTTATTATCACCACACTCTGTTCTTTTACAGAGAACTATTTTCGGATGCAGTTTTCTTATCTCTCACTGAGGGTTATGTTCTCAAAGGGATATAGTAAAGATTTAGTTATAGGAGTGCCACAGAATTTAATTATCTAAGAAAAATTTCCCCTTCCACTCTTCACCTAAGAAATAATACACAATACAATACTGAGCTTGCATATAAATCATTTAACATCATAGAATCCAGTTAAAGTTGGAGTGGGCCTTTGAGGTCATAGCCTCATTTCCTATTGAATACAAGAATTCCCTCTACAACCAGCAGGCAGTTTCATATAGTGGAAAGATCTCTGAAATTGGTGTCAGAAGGTTCTGGGTTCAAATCCTCTGCTTTGTTACTTACTACCTGTGTGACTGTGAACAAATCACTTAGCAATCCGATTCTCAATTTCCTCTGAAAAATGAAGAACTTGGGTCAGATGGCTTTGTTGGACCTGTCCAACTTTAGATCTGTGATCCTATTTGAATTTTCCTAAGAGTTGCCTTCCATCTACTGATTACATCCTTCTAGTCACACGGAGCTCATTATTAGATTGTAAGCCTCTTGAGGACAGAGACATAATTGTAAGATCTTCACTTCTCTTTATATCAGTTTCCTTATTTGCACGGAGGAGTTTGGACGACAGCTTCTGAGGCCCCTTCCAGCTCTAGGACCACGCTCCTGCAATCTTTGAAGGTCACTCAGCATTCTGAACAATGGTTTGTACAGAGTCGTTTAATATATGATTTTAAGAATTGAATTGAATTACTGCATCAGGCAGCCCACTTCTGCCATTTCTGTACAACTCTATTAGAAAGCTATTTGTATTTTCCAGTGCTAATAAATGTTTGACTATTTTCCTTTTGGTAAAATTTCTGAATAGTTTTCTCAACCCAAGACAATTTTAGAGTTTTGAAAAATCATGGCTAACAGGGAAGGTGCCACAGGACTCAGGAAAGACATACGGCATCTTAGTTTTTAGGGTGTCTTCAAACTAAAGATAAGTGAGCTTGCTATTGATTCTCACCAAAATACTAGACTTTCTTATTAAAGGGATGGTTTGTGAGCACTTAGAAAAGGAAGCAGCGATTCCCAAGGGCCAGTATTGAAGTATCAAGAACAGGTTTTAGCAGACTAGCCTAGTCTCTTTCTCTCTCTCTCTCTCTCTCTCTCTCTCTCTCTCTCTCTCTCTCTCTTTTGGACAGGGTTACTACACTGGAAGATTGGGGCAATACTATCTTCTAATGGTGTTGGATTTTTGTCAGCCCATCCACATTGCCCTTAACCTTGGGATCAATGGTACAGATATATGAGAAAGCTTCTAAGGTGATATGTACCAGACAAATTGAACTCATGACATTGAAAATGTACCCTCTTGTATAGACAAGTCTGTCATGTATAAATGTTAATCCAGGATTTTAATGAATCTGGTCAGGCCCTGTTCCTACCACAGCTAATTGCATTATCTTTAGTGTTGGTCACTACATTTTGGGAAGGGCATGGATAAACCCTAAAGTGTCCAGAGGAGGGTGATCAGAAAGGTGAGAGTCATGCTGTGTGAGGACTGATGGAAGGAACTGGAAATATTTAACTGGAAGAACAGAAGGCTCAGGCAGGTTATAAAACTCACGTCCAAGTCTCTTGGAGGGTGGTTAAGACTTGTTCTATTTGTTCCTAGGAGGCATAGCTAGGAACAGTGGGCAAAAGTTGCAGAAGGGAAGACACTGGCTTGCAGTAAGGATAGGCAGTCTACTATGTGCCAGGCACTATGCTAAGTGCTGAGGATATAAAGAAAGCAAAAAACAGCCTCTGCTCTCAGGGAGCTCACAATCTAATGGGAGAGAAAATGTAAGCAACTGTGTACAAACTGTGTACAAAAATTGGAGGTAGTCTCAGAGGGAAGTTACCAAGATTAAGGAGGACTGGGCAAAGTTTCTTGTAGAAGGTAGGACTTTACGTGAGATGTAATGGAAGCCAGGGAAACTGGAGGTGAAGCTGAGGAGGGAGGGCATTCTAGAAACAGAGGACAATCTGTGAAAATGCTCAGTGTCTGGACAAAGAGAGTTCAGGATTGCATAGCATAGAATAGGTTAGGGTAGTACCAATTTGTCTTGTTTGAGACACAACATTTCTAGAGGAGATGGTTAAAAAAAAATTCACTGTGGAAACTCTGTGAGATATGAGCAATAAGGAAATACTTAAGGAGCAGAGGAAGAAAAGAATTGGCTTCTAAAATTAGACCGGGTAGTATTATATGCATATATAAAACACACACACATACACATGCACACATATTTTTATTTGTATATGTGTGTATATATATAATCCAGTATATATGCATATATATCCAGCATATATATATATATACACACACACATGTGTATGTCACATATATATGTGTATATACATGACCTATATATACATGTGCATATATATATGCACATGTATATATGTGTATACATATATTTTGTTGTTAAGTTGTTTTTCAGTTGTATCTGACTCTCTATGATCTCACTTGGAGTTTTCTTGGCAAAGATACTGGAGGGTTTGCCATTTCCTTTTCCAGCTCATTTTACAGATGAGGAAACTGAGGCAGAGTTAAGTGACTTGCCTAGGGTCACACAGCTAGCGAGTATCTAAGGCTGGATTTGAACTCATGAAGATGAGTCTTCCTGATTCCAAGGCCAGTGCTCTATCCATTGTGCCATCATATATGTATGCACACATATTTCATACTATTTAGAATCAATGAAAATTCCAGAAGGATTGTGATGACACCCAGCATACTGGTAGGATTTCTAGGTCTAAGGAGGGGGCCATTGTGGTACAGTAGAAAGACCACTAGCCCTGGAGTCAGAGGCCCTGGATTCAAATCTTAACTTTGATGCTTACTAGCTGTATGAGCTCGGGCAGGCCATTTATAGTGGGAATTCTTTTCATATACAGATTGGACTAGAAGGTACTGAGATCCCTTGCAACTCTCAGATGCTAGGATTCTTTAGTGTCCCTGGTCCTCAGTTTCCTCCATTTGTAAAACGAAGAGATTGAACTCCATAACATCTGAGGTCTCTTTTCTTGAGATCTTTGATAAGTAGGAGGAACCACACAGTTTGGCCAGACTCACAGTGTCTCATTTTAGATCAAAAGCCATAGAACACCAATATAAAATGTTCTTTTTTCTTTCTAATTTCAAAACAGCTGGGAATTAGTCACTTACCCCCGGCATCCCTTAGTGGCAAATTATATTAAATACTCTACTTGAACACAGGAGGTACATATGTCATGGAATAATAATTTGGGAATATTAAATTAATTTCATAGCTCAGTTCCCACCATTCAGGCAGGTTAAAACAGTAAAAAAGGGGGAGGAGAAAATAAGAGCTGTGTCAATCCAAAAAGGGGATTTATAAAAAAATTCTTTCTTCCTCTCACGAAAACATGGAACACTCCCTGTGGCGCTAGTCCTTACCCCCTTTCCCCTTTGTTCTCTTCCAAGCAAATGGGAAACCCAAAGCCTTAAAGTCCAAAGAGCTTGTTTGTTGCTAAGCTGATGAAGGGGGAGGGAAGGCTCAGAGATTAAGTAGGAACTTTGAAGTAAATCAAGTCCCTGATGATTCTGATTTCTAAAGCATAGCAGGCTAGACTCAGCCTTTCACTCTTTCCAGGCAGGAGAAATGGTACTCAAGCTACTTTCCCGTGGGCGAGTCCCTTTGGTTAGGACTTACAATATGAGCCTGACTGCTCCATAGGTCTATCAAAGACTGTAGGCCTTGTCAGAGAAGACGGTTGTTATTCTTAGCCTGATTTCTAAGGTGTTCACGGGTCTAGCTTTGCTCTCTATGAGGGAAGCAAAAATTGTGATTTGAAATTCTTTCATTACATTTATCATTAATCAATCAACAAGCATATATTAAGCACTTACTATGTACTGGAAGTATGGTAAGCACTGGGGATTCAAAGAAAAATAGAAATCACTTCCACTCTTTAAAGAGGGAGAAACAACATAGCTGATGGTGTCAAAAACCCTAAAGCATTTTCTTAATCATTTCTCTTTAGGCATATAATTGAGGCTTGGATTATAGGATTGTTTGAGAGCCAGAAGGGACTTCAGAGGGCATGGAGTCCAACTCTCTCATTTTACAAATGAAGAAACTGAGGCACAGAGTTAAGTGACTTACTCAAGGTCACCAAGGAAGTTAAGTGCCTAAAGTAGGATTGGAATTCAGAACTTCCTACTTCAAGTCTGTGCCTTATTCACTACTCCATGTTTCCTCAATTCCTCCTTGGCATCAAAATCTACATTTACATTTAAATG